CTTGAGCAAAAACATGTCTGCAGGGGAGGGTTGGAAGGACCAGGTGGCCAGGCAAACCAATAGGGAATTGCATCCCAAGTTGCTTGGCATTGCTGGAGCTTCCTGCCACCTTGTGTGCTCAGGCTGTGCCAGTTTTGTGACGTTTCCCTAGATTATTTCAGTCTAAACATTTTGGGTTAACATAAATCTGCTCTTTTAAACAGCTCAAATTCACCTGCTTGTTTGGATAGAATGGGATCAGAACAGCTTAAGTGTTTGGGAGAGCATATCTGAAAAGGCAAGAGGCTCTGGCTGGGAAGCAACTGGGGCATCACGCTGTCCCTGGACCAGCTGGATTCTGAGCTCCAAGTGTTCCAGGCCATCTCCTCTGGGAGTGTCAGGCAACATGCTGAAGTTGCAGCAGATATTTTATTCCTGATTTTTCCTCAACCAGGAGCATTAAGCGCAGTATCCAGCTGTCAGGGTGGGCTCTGTGGGGCTCTCCCAGCTCCAGGGTCACTTTTCCAAAATGTGGACTGCTCCCCTTCCAGAAAGGTTGAACAAGGTCCTGCTTTGATGTGGTGTCACTTTAGGGACCTGCCAGCTGAGAATCCTTTGACCTTCTCATGAGGACTCTGCTGGCTTCGCCCTGGGCTGTGTGACCTCATTTAAGCTTTTTCCGGTATTTAAAATGGGTTTTCCAGCCTGGCACCATGGTGAGGATGAGGCTGGTCTCTTGGACGTAGCCTTGCTGCTGGGCCAAGGTCAGGTGAAGGCGTCAGACTCCTGATGCTTCCCACCCTTCCCTCCAAGTCCGGGTGCTCTTTTTTTTGCCCTGTTTCATTCCCCTGGCACGGTGCTGAGGTTCCTTCCTGGTTTTCCATTGCATGACTCGGATAAGGAAGGGTTTCCCTCTTGCATTGCAAAGCAGCTTAAGGACCCTCCTGTACCTTGTAGAGCAGAGCAGGAGGAGGCACAGCCTCAGCAAGGTGGATTCTCTGCCTTCACAGGGAAGAGATGTCCTCTCTGCACCATTTCATGGAGATTGGAGCTGGAAGTGGGCTGTGAATGGAAGGGAAGGTCCATTTTGGTGGGAGTGTGAGCACTATCTGATGTGAACAATCACTGAACAATAAGGTTATTTGAATGCAGATCTGTAAATCTCACCTCCAGCTGCTGATCCACCTCTCATTAGTCCTCAGTGTCACAGTTACTTCACAACAGACTGCTTTAAATGTCTATGTCCCTGTGGTAATTAGAGAAGAGAAAAGGAAGAGTGCTGTGGAAGGATTGGACAGGCTCTCCTGTCTTCTGCACAACAGGACAGAATGAATCCCAGTGAGGATCAGGGAAGGAATTGCTTCCCTGGCCTCAGTGTGAGCAGTGGGCTGGAATGGTCTCAGAGTGTTTAGTAACATGTCAAGTTTTATTCTACACAGGGCAAAAGGGTGGTGGAAATTATTTGGACAGTTTTGTGTTCTAGTGTGCATGTCTCCCCCTCTTGCCTGGCTGATTTTGGGCATGGAACTGATGATAAGCTAACGAAACCAAGTGTTTCCATGTTGGACAACACCTGCCTCTCATCAGGAGCCTGAGCATTGGAATATGGCTGAGTAGTGAGGCAGAGAAGCAGGACCAGGTGATTTGCTCTTGATGTGAAAATCTTGTGAAACCTCCTGTGTTCACCTGCGTGGTTGCAGCTCTGGCAGTGAAACTCCACCCTGGGAAGGTATTTGCTTTGACAGCTGGGCCTGGGCTACAGGAGCTGCTGGAAGAAGTTCTAGCAGGCGTATTCACATGTGGGTTCTCCCCACCCTCTCTGCTCTTAGCTGCTCCTCCTTTGGAGGTACCATGGGTCTCCTTTTGGCCAGTCCTTTAATGTCCTGTACTCCTCCCTGGTTGTTCAGAGGGGACTGTGGCAGGGGAATGCTTGTCATTCTCCTTCTAACTGGAAATGGAGACATTCCAGGGTGCTGAGGGCTCTTCATTAATCCCTGGAGCTGATGGTTGAGTTTTCTTTTAATAACTTACTTTGCTTAGTGCAGCACTCTGACATCTTGGGTGGTAGGCAGCACATAAGTGACATTCCTCAGAGCAACTCAGGGAAGGGGTAGACATAAGGCAAGCTTGGTACTGCTGCCTTCAGCACTGTTCTCCTTGCAAAGGTGAGGGAAGTGCCTTTGGTGACACTTGGGCTTCGAATTCCATCCGCAGCCTGTGCTTGGCAAGTGCTCGTGCCTGCCTGGTGAAGTTTGGGAATGCTCTGATGAGCATAGTGAATACTGCTTGTTAAAATTGCATGTACAACTCCAGGGCTAATGCTCTGCTCTCTGAAGAAAGTGCCTCTAAACATGCAGACAATTCCTCTTGGGCTTCTGGGAGCTGGAAATGCTTTTCTGTCCCCCCACTTCCATCCACCCTCCATCCCTGCAGAAAATCACACATCAGTGTTGCCACAGTGTATGTTATTTTCCACCCAGTTTCTCTCCTGTTATGAAGTCAGGGTTGTTGGGTTTTTTTCCTTTTAAAAGCATCTCAGATGCTGAATTGATCTTTCTTTCTCAAACAAATATTGGCTGACATCAGCTTTTGACTGGTTCAGAGTGAAGGACTTTCTGTTATGGGGCTGATTTTAAAGAAAAGTACAGCCAACAGGTAAGCAGTGGCTCAAACACTCTCCAGTTTCCCTCTCTTGTTCTTCTCTTCCCTGTGTTTGTGATCTTCCATTCCGTTTGTGCTCAGACTGGAAAAGTGGGGTCTGTCCTGCAGTGACACAGTGATAGCCTGTCCCCAGCCCTGTGGCCTGAGGCTACTCAGGAGCCCACGGCTGTGGCTCCCTTTCACACTTCCTGGGATCTGAGCTCTCCTGCTGGGAAGCACTACAGGGTTGTAGGTAGAGCTGCATCAAATAATGAATTCTTTTTTTGTGTTTTCCCCCCCCCCCCCCGCCCCACTCTCTGTCCTAAACATGTTCTTCCCTATGCTGATAGGAATCTGCTTTTTCACATCAGGATGTGTATCCTCAGTGGGGGTTTCTTGGATACAGAAGATACATTATTAGCTCTTTGTCCTATGTGTGAAGCTGCTTTCTCCTAGAATTTTTTTTCCCAATCTCTTAGTCTCAGGAGATAGGATTCTTGGCTGAACTTTCCTGTTACTTGTGGGGCATTGCCTGTTCTGCAGGCACGTTACATAGGCTTGTCTGAAGTCGACTGAAAGGACTGTTGTGCTCCCAAGCTCCACAATATCTGACTTGGAGGCTCCAAAAAAAGACACCTGAGTTCAGTTTGTATCAGGACACTCCAGCCTGCTGGGCATGTCTCTCTTCTCTATAGGAGCTCTGCAATGCTCCTGTCTCTAGTGCTGAAGCTGAGGGATTCTGGCTCTGGAAATCCTGCCATGGAGTGGGCACCAGCTGGCTTCACTTAGCTTGTACACACTGACTTGTTTTTCCGCGGGCAGTGCTAGATTCTGCTCATTGTAAGTGCTTCTCTGTGTTCCATCAAATACCCCAAAACAGCAACATCATGCAAGGCAGGATCAACAGTCCCCAGTTTAGTGTTTTGTGCTCTGGTTCTGCTTCAAAAGTGGGGTTTTTTTTTTTTGAGTTGGGGGTGGTTTTTTTTGTTTGGTTTTTTCACATGTCCCTCCTCACCTCCGTGTCCTTCTTGTGCTGTTCTCCAGGGACTCCTGTGCAGTAGGTGGAGCACAGGCCTGTATTGTGTCGCTTTCCTGTGGAGTTGTTGCTCTTGGCCAGCTTTGCTGCCCTTATTTATAGAAGGAAAATCAGAGAGGGAAAAATCTAGCATATCCAGCTGCTGGAATGGGTCTGGTGATTTCGGGGTGCAGACAGTTATGAATGTCAGCTCAGTGGGCTGGAAGGTGTTTGTGGTCATGAACTTGTGTCCAGCACCAGTTGCTTCCAAATGAAGATGAGAAAATGTAGGCAAGTGGTTTGTGTTCATGGGAAAAGCTGTGACACTGCAAATTAAATATCTGGCTGAGGGAACTGGGGGGACTCAGCCTGGAGAAAAGAAGGCTCGGCGGGGACCTTCTCACTCTCTCCAATTCCCTGGCAGGCAGGTGCAGACAGGGAGTCAGGCTCTGCCCCTGGAGAACAAGGAACAGAACAGGAGGAAACAGCATCAAGTTGTGCCAGGGAAGGTTCAGGCTCGACATCAGGAGGAATTATTAATTTAATGAGTTGTCAGTCCCTGGCACAGTCTGTCCAGGACAGTGGTGGAGTCCCCATCCCTGAAGGTGTCCAAGGAACAAATGGACATGGCACTCAGTGCTCTGGGCTGGTGACAAGGTGGGGGTTGTTCACAGATTGGATTCAACAATCTTGGAGGTCTCTTCCAACCTTAATGATTCTGGGGTTCTGTAATCTTTGTCTCATCAGAAAGGCCCTTAGCAGTTTCCCTTTGTCCTGTTTATGTTGAGATGTCCACTTGTGTCCCCGTGAGCTGATGTGAAGGCTCAGTGGAGCCACAGACAGAGTCTTGTTTCCTTTACTGCAGGAACGTGTGTCACCATTCCCAGTGTGGGGTGGGTTGGTGGGAGGTGGGAGCAGTTACCTGCAGCACAGAAGTAATTCTTTATTCTTTTCCTTCTTTTCTGTGCAGCTGAAGAGGTGGATCACGCCCCAGGTGATGCCAGCATGGGGGTAGATGTTTTGGAATCAGGTGACACCACACCTCCTACAAAGAGGAAAAGCAAGTTCTCAAGCTTTGGCAAGATTTTCAAACCCTGGAAGTGGAGGAAAAAGAAAAGCAGTGACAAATTCAAGGAGACTTCAGAAGGTAAAGTAACAGGGGCTGGGTGGGGGTCCCTTCCTCCATCCATTAGAGAAGGGGTTGCTGTCACAAGCCTGAGTGCTGACATGTGCAAGAACCAAAATGGGACTTCCGTGATGGGCTGACACCAGCAATCTCTCCAGAAACACCTTGCCACTGAGCTGTAATTTCAGACAGATTAATTCCTTTCTTTCAAGGAAGCTCCCCAGGTAGCTGTGGGGAGGGAGCGTTTCCACAATCAGCAGTGCAGTGTGAAATGCAGGTCTTAACGTGCAGTTCCTTCTCTCTCCTCTTAATTCATGCAAAACCAGTGAAATTTGAAGCCCTTTTATTTCCTCTAGAGAACATCTTTAAAAGAAAAAAAAAAATCTTCTTGAACTTCAACATTGCCCTGTTTTCTGAGTGCTTTTTTTCAATTTAATATCAGTTTTAGAACGAAAGATTTCTATGCGAAAGCCAAGAGAGGAGCTGGTAAAAAGAGGGGTTCTGTTGGAAGAGCCTGAGCAGGGTGAGTCTGCAAATGAACTTCTGTCTGTGTCTGTGTGGCTGATCTTCTCTGGCCAAACCTCAGCCTTGGGAGACAAATTTAAGGGCTTCCTGCTGAAGTGATTCCTGTCTGCCTTACCCTTTTCAGTGCTCTCTCTTGTCTGTTTTCCCACCTGGGAGGAAGGCAGCCTGCTCAGGGAGGAAGATGGTGCTGAGGAAGTGCAATGCCTGTCTGGAACACCTCCCTGCAGGGAGGGAGGGCTGTGCTGTGGTCACTTCCCATCCCGTCCTTCTCTGTGTTCTGCTCCAGATACCTTGTGCTGTCCTGCCAGCCTCTGCTGCCACACTGTCACTCACCATCTCCTGCTGTTCCAAATGGGAGAGGTACTGCCCTGGGGCTCAGGCAGGGAGAAGAATCAGGAATGGGTGAATTCTGAGCTGCTTGGGTAGGGGCATATCTTCCAAGAGATGCTTCATGGTATGGTGTCATAGTCACCACTAGGCTTATTAAAGTTTGTGCTGCTGTCTAGGAAGTCTTAGTCCCTTTTCTTTCATCTTTAATGTCTCCAAGTTGGGATCATGCTGCCAAAATAAGTTGTCAGATCACCATCCACTCACCTGGCTGGGATTTGTATGATATGGAAAAGTGGTGAGGAAATCTGTTCATACTGTTCCTGTCTCCCTTGCTAAAAACTTTGGATAACCAGAGGCAGTTGCTGCCATAAAAATCTGTCTCATCCCTTGAGTTTCAGCTCTGGCTAGGGAGGAAACTGCCTCTTGTTGCTCTTTATGCCTGCTGCATTTCAGGGAAGGGCAGTGAGTGAGCAAGGCAGTACCATCTACCAGCTCCTCACAGGAACCGAGGCTGTTTCTTGTGGAAAAGAAATCTTGGGAAGCTTCTGAATAGCACCAGGTTAGGGAAGGGGAGGTAGTACTTTGGAGGGAGAGGAAAGGTGAGGAGGACAGTGGAATAAATGATCAAAAAATAGAACAGCATATTTTGCTGGGGTCTAGCACCTGGAGAGGATGGATGCCATACACTCCAATTCCTTCAGAGATGGCAGACTGAATTGAAAAATATTTTTAATCAAATGGGTGATGTATTTATTTAAGTTTTCTTGAGTTGAAAATCAGTCCAAATGGGCAATTTCCCCTTGGAGATGGATGCCGAGTCTTTTTTTGAGAGTAATACTGTCAAAAACTTGTCCTGTCAGGGCATTACCAAGAATGGTGGAGTATTTCCTCATGGGGATTAGGAGTTTCAGGACCCCTCAATAGCATGGGTTGGATTGGATGGGGACCTCCAAAAAGAGGTCTTGCTTTTAACACTGGGAACCTCCATGTTAGAATTTGTAAAAGCAGAAATAGTCAAAGTGAGCTACATAAAATTGTAGAGCTGTGTCATTACATCTGATTAAAACAAAGGTAAATCCGGAAATCTGCCTTGCTGATGTTTTGGGTTGAGCAGCGATTTTTGTGCCAAATTCAGGGTAGAAGCAAGGAAAACAGGTGCTTCCACTAATCTGAAGACTTTATGAAAGTCTGTTACTGCACGTGCAGTAGATGACTCGGCTCACGTTGGAATCTGCATTGCAGCAGGGAATTGGTGTCTGCTCCGTGATAGAGGGTGGGTCCAAAAGCTGCTGGAGATTTCTGACTTCACGTACAACTTCCTTGTGCTGCAGCACAGCACTGGGCACGCTAACTGTAACACAAGAGCAAGGGAAGGACAGGAAGAAGAAAAACCCTTGCTAGCATACAGTGCTGTGTGATTTATTCATTGATAATGAAATCAGGGGCTCTCAGCTCCAGCTGGTTGGGTTGCTGTGCTGTCCTGGGCAGAAGGTGGCTGAAGACCAGCTGTTTCAGAAGCCAGAAAGAATTTGATGTGGCTCCATGGTGGTTGAGTCAGCTCAGCCACCTCTCCTCTCCCCTGCCTTCTGAGTGTTTTCTCTTTGCTTCCCTGTCCACGTGTCCCCTTGCAGATGGTGAGGAGCCAGAGAAGCTGAACCCACCTGCACTGAAGAATGGCCACACTGTCCCCATTGGAGGCCCTGGGGTGTGTAACCTGCCCAGCCAGGAGGAAGAGGCCACAAAGCCATCCAGCCTTAGAAAGCCTGTTCCAGTGGAGGAACCAAAGAAGAGGCAGGGTAAGAAACCCGATGTGTGCAAAATCAGGGCTTCACATTCTACTGTAATGAGTTTTGAATTCTCATCTGATCCTTCCTACCCTCAGTAGATCCTCCGGTGCCTTAAACTGAGCTGCCTCCCTTTGCAGGTTCCTCCAGCAGCCAACCTGGGCCTGAACTGGAACCACCTCAGGAGCCACATATTCCCAGACAACCTCTGCTTCCTCCAAAAAGACCTTCCTCCACTTCCCAGGAGACAAACGAAGTACAGGCAAAGGATCCCATGCCTGCCAGCAACACTGCAAGAACTGCCCCCTTCAGCACAGCCCCCACGGCAGCAAAGACAATCAATTCCACAGCTGCCCCTTCCCCAGCCCCCAGGACTCTGCTCCCTGCTCCTGCCAGTGCCAACACTACTGCTCCCACCAGCACGACCAGCACAGCTCCTGCCAAACAGCCTCCTGTCCCTCCTCCCAAACCCATCAACAGAAACAGCAACTCACTAATAGGTAAGTGACCCCACAAACTGGTTTTTGTACCTTGAGATATTCTGGAGCCACTGCTCCAAGAGTCTCTTCCCTTTGTAAGGGAAGATTATTAGTTGCATCAGAATGTCAGACCGTCTTTCCTAAAAACAGTCCAGTTTGGACTCAAATCTCCCAGTGTTTAGCCAGGACACACGTGCTCTGGGAACAGTGTAATTACTGGAGTCTTCTGCCATGAGCTATCCAGTGTGTTCCCAGCAGCTGCCTGCAGGAAGGACTCCCTGCCTGCCTGTTCTCTGTCAGCTCTGAGACAGTGTCTCAATGTTGATGCTTCACTGGGGTCTGGGATTCAGCTGGGATTGGGGAATGGTGGATGAGGTTTTGTGGTTAATGACAATTCCTTCTTTCATCTGCTTTTAGAGAAAAAAAAACAAAAAAAAAACCAAACCAAGAAACAAGCCCAAAGAATCCACACATCAAACAATGTCTAGTGTGGCTGTCACTGCCAGACTATGTGGTTTCCACTTAGGGCAGAGACCAGGAGCTGGTAGGGATAATTCAGACTTCCCTGGTTATACTCAGGCTCTTCCTCTAAGGTCTGTGGCTGGGCTATTGACATATGAGTCTTGTCTCTATATCTTGTCACATGGATAAATCATCTCAACTGTAATTTGAACTGAATCTTCCCATTTAGAAAATTAAATATTCTTATCTTTGTAATTTTTCTAAGCAGAAGATTTGTCAAGAGTTTCTTAAAGCTCATTTAATCTCTGTTCTCTGTGGGAGTTCTGGGGATCTTAAAGATGCAATTTTAGAGTTGGTATGACTTCCATGCAGCAATGGCCTGCTGGCACTTCAGGCAGTTCTTTCACAGACACCTCCTAATCTTTGGACAGGGTTAGCAGAGGTTAGCCCAGATCAGGAGGGAGGCTCCTGGGAAGATCAATCTGACAGGTTTGCACTGTTACCACAGAAACTGGAGGCATTACCCGGGTGTGGTTTGAGAGGCAGTGCTGGATGTGCAAGTTGCCATCTGAAATAGCCGCCGCCACTGCTTTCAGTGTGGACAGATTGCTGTGCTCTGCTTGGGGCTCACCTCCCTCTGGCAGGTTTTGCAAGTGACCTTGGTATGGTATTAACAACCCTCATGTGCCAGACCAGCTTGATTAGCCTGACCATGCTTGGGCACTCCATGAAATACCTTCTTGTTTTCTTTAAGCTGCTTGTACACACTGCAGGTGGCATTTGAATTATGCCCCAGCTCTAATTGGAGGAGGTACTTGTGGAAGAAAAAATGTGGCTGAAAACAGCAGTGTATCCCATGTGTTTAGAGCCATCCTGCCTCTTCCCAACAGCGTGGGCTGGGCTGGGAGCAGCTGAGGGATGTGCAGGGGAGGAGAAAAACCAGCAGTTCTCTTTTGTCCCCTGGGTATGAACGAAGATGTAGAGGAGGCTCCACAGCCCTCTAGTCTGGCGCAATGGAGCTGGAGCTGTGGTGTTGCTGTGTGAGCCTTGTGTTGTCACTGTTGTTGAACAGCCTGAGTGGAATTGGCTTTGTGAGCTCTCCACGGGTCTTTGGTGCCTGCTCTGACTGCAGGGGTGTCCTTCTGTGCCACTGTTACAGTGTGAGGCTTGGGAGGGAGTTACTGTGCAGGTCACCCCTTTGTCTGTCCCCAGGATGCTCATTCCCTGAGCAGTTCTGTTGTCTCAAGCAGCAACTTCCTTCTTCCACCTCCTCGCTCCCTGTCAAATTTTGCTCTTACCCAGAGGTGTCTCAAGCCTGGTCCTGTCAGGCTTGGAGCACTGTTCAGGAGACACTGGAGTCCCTTGGGCAGGAGCTGAGGACACTCTGTGTTTTATACAATCTGGTCCTTAATCTACAAAGGGAAAGTCTAAAAATGCTAAACATCTCACAAATGTGCCCACCTCTCTCCAGTGTCTCCTGAGCAGTGCCGCTAACACAACTGGAGACTGGGGTGTCCTGGATGTCTTGGATTCCTTTTATGCTGTAAATACAGCCATAAAGTGCCCACATAACTGCATTCCTGGGCAGGCTCCTGTGCTGTCTTTCAAGGGCTGCTGCCATTTCTCTCTCTCTGAAGCAGCAGGATGCACAAACCTGTCTCAGCCTGCTTGGTTTTGGCTGCTCTCCCAAGTCTTGCTGCTGGAAGGACAAACTAAAGCCTTGAAACCTGGCTATTTCTAGTATGATACTCCAGTAAAAAGTAGCAGAGAATGCTTAGACCAAGGCTCTGAGTGCATTGCCGTGCTTTTTCCACACAGGTGAAGGTTTTATCTGGAAAATACCCTGTTAAACATTGTGGCTTTTGTGGGTTTTATTTTCAGCGGAACTTTCCCAAGTAATGACCAGTGGTACAGCCTTGTCCAAGCTTTCCCCTCCTCTCCCTCCAAAGAGAGGCCTCCTGCCTAACAACACGTCAGAGGCTGTCACCTCTAAGCCCCAGAATGACAGGACAGTGACAACGAGTCGCCCTGCACCGATTCCACTGCACGTGACCTCAGCTTATCCACCACCTTCACCCTCGCCGCCGCTGCCCACCCACGTACCCCCTGAACCTCCACGCGTGGCCCTGCCCACCTCCACCCCTGTCCTAGACCCACCGTGCTCCCTGGACCTGCCCAAGGAGGCTCCTCCTCCTCTCCCTCTTCCTGAAGACTTCAGGCCCATAGAAGTGTCAAAGAGGACGGCAGAACAAGGGTTTGGTGAACCCCACGTGCTGCCTCGCCTGCCCCAAATCCCACTGCACATTCGTATCCAGCAGGCTCTGGCCAGCCCTCTGCCTGTCACCCCACCTCCCGAAGGGTCCCACAGGGCCCACTCGTTGCTCTTTGAGAACGATAGTTTTGGAGAAGACAACAGCACCCTGGGCAGGACAAGATCCCTGCCTGTCACCATTGAGATGCTCAAAGTGTGAGTACCTTCGTGTATGTGTGTGGCCTCTCCCAGCTCCTGCAGCACTGTGATGGTGGGGATGGCTCTGGGCAGGGCTTAGGTCTCTGCTGAACCCATTTTCCCTGTTGGCCAAATCTGTGTTTCAGGCTCTTAAGAGCCAGAGTGTCTTCCCCATGAAATTACCCCTGGCTTTGGGATTTTTATTGCTCACAAAGGGAAGTGGGTTCCAGACTACAAACACAGGCTGATGCCAGGAATCCAGGCCTGGACTGCCTGTAACTGCACCAAGACCAAACAGGTCCTGGATTCCATCCATCTGTGGCCTTCATTAGCCTTTCATTTTGCTAAAATAAGTGGGAAAAGAACTGTCTTTTGTTATAGCAGAGCTGAATCTCCAAGTCACAAAGTAGTGGGGTCAGAGGGCGGTTTGGTTCTGCAGAACCTGCCTCTGTCACTTCCTTGGCCAGGACTCCCTGTGCTTTGAAGAGAGGTGACAGCACAGGATCCTGCGGTGGCTCTTGCACCTCTGGTTTCTGGGCTTCCCTGAGGAGAGTTAAGGACGTATTGATTCTAGGGATATTCTGCAGGCCCCGTGCCAAGTGTTCAGAGTGTAATAGCCTGCTTCTCGTTAGTCCAGACGATGAGGAAGAGGAAGATGATGACCAGGAAGAGGAACAGAATTCAGGTCATCATGTGTATATTGGAGATGTGCCATCTGTCACAGTCATCCCCAAACTGGTACCCCAGGTCCTCCCGGAGGAGCAGGAAGGAGACGAAGGGATGAGCGACTCTGACTCGGAGGGCCCCATCCTGTATAAAGATGATGAGGATGAGGAAGAAGATGAAAGCCATAACAGTAAGGCTTTGACGTTGCAGGTGTCATTTTTATTGCTCTGCTGAACTCGTGCCTGGCTGCACTGAGATCTGGACCAAAGTATTGGTTCCCACAGCACCTTAAAGCAGCTGGTTCTTGGTTGCATGATGTAGCACATGTCCTCTGCCTTGCTTTTTCCAAGGCTCTGCAGCCAAACCTGTGCAGTCACCTGCTGAGTGCACCCCTTCAGTTGCAGATGGCTCCTGTGACAGCCTGTGCTGTCCCAGCCCCTCAGGTAGGGCAGCATTAGGTGGGCATATGGTGTCACACAAAAAGTGCTGGGTGCTGCTGCTGTGCAGTGAGTGCAGTGCTTGGGAAGAGCAAGGAGAGAGGACAGCTCTCCCTCAGGAAGAGCACAGCTCCCAGGGGCACAGGGCTAGGATTGCTGTGGCAGGCTCGGTAGCCTTGAGTTGCATCCTGTTGCTCTCCCTCTCCACAGGCACACTGGCCAACAGAGTGAAGAGGAAAGACACGCTCGCTATAAAGCTGGGGAACACAACTGCACCACAGGAGGAGAAGATCATGTTCCCTCGGAAGAGCAAGGAGGAGTGGAACGAAATCCGTCACCAGATTGGGACAACGCTGATCAGGTACAGAGAGGATGAAGATCAGTGTGAGCTGCTGGCACAGTGTGTGCAGAGTGGCACACAAAGTTGGTGCCTTGTCCAAGCAGCTTGTGCTGGAATAGGATGGGTGGTTAGGCAGCTGGAGCAGGGCTGGGAGGTTGTGTTGCTCTTCTTCCTTTGTTAGAAAAGTTGTGAGTTCCTCCTGGAGTTGAAAAACACCCCCTGACAGACCCCTGTTTCCAGAGGTTAAATGGACTGAGAGGGAAAAATCTCAAGGATTACAGACATGTAAAACACAGGTGTGGATAAAAAGGTGTGGATGGATGCAGGGTGGGTGCTTGTGGTGGATGAAGCTGGGACTGGTGGCAGTCCAGGCTCTGCTGTCTGAGCTCCTTGCCAAGCTGCTTCTGAGCTGGAGAGCCCATAGCCCTTCCCAAAGCTGTGCCAGTGGCCAAGCAGCTGTTTGACAAGAGCATAGTGTAAAACAGAGCAGCAGTGATCCTCAGTGGTGAGTGAGGAGTGTGGAGGAGGCTGTCTAGTGCAGTTTTATCCTTCATCTGCTACTGATGAGTGACCAGATACAACAGTCTGTACTTGTCACACTTCTCTTCAGGCGACTGAGTCAGAGGCCAACTGCAGAAGAACTGGAACAGAGGAACATTCTTCAGCGTGAGTAGCACTTCTCTGCTGGTCCTAGAAATACCATAAGTTTGCCTTTAACATCTTAATGTATCAGGTGGGGATGGTTTTAAATTGAAAGATATTTAGATTAGATGTTAGGAACAAATTCTTCCCTGTGAGGGTGGTAAGGCCCTTGGCACAGGTTGCCCAGACAAGCTGTGGCTGCCTCATCCCTGGAAGTGTCCAAGGCCAGGCTGGACAGGGCTTGGAGCAACCTGGGACAGTAGAATGTGTCCCTGCCCATGGCAGGTGGTGGAACTGGGCAATCACTGAGGTCCCTTTCAGCCAAGCCCATTCTGGGATCATATGATTATGGACAGGATAGCTGTCCCATGCCTGCCACCTCAGAGGGAGAGTGTGTGGGCTGGTTCAGACTCTGCTGTTACACAGCAAGCACTGTGAAAGGTGTTTTTGTTTGGGTTGGACTTCTGTGTTCCAGACATTACAGCACTGGCCTTCATGATCTCTAAAGCAGCAGTGCATCACAAAGTCAGGACTGTTTCTCTTGGCCATATCTTGTTCTGCAAAAGTTTTAAATAAACATCTCGAGGAAATGGGAATGTCAGTTCAGGAAGCTTCCACTTAAAATATTTATCTGTGCTGTTATTTTCTTTTAAACTATAATGGCTTAATGAAGGAGCAAGCTGCGCAGTGGCTTGGATGTATTTTGGCGATATGGACATTAATCGTTGAGGTGAATGACTCATTGGTGCTGGGTAAGGGGCACATTTGCCCCTGCCAGTTCAGGAGGTGACACAGGGTATTGAGTGGTACAGCACTCTCTGCCTGTCCTAAGCCTTCAGATCTGTAGATAATCTGGTCCAGCTCAACACTGTCCTTTGTTCAAGCCTAGAAAGCACTTTTCAAAGCCTGATGCTTACATGAAAAACGCTTTTTTTTCCCCCTTGGCAGCGAAAAATGAAGCTGACCGTCAAGCTGAGAAGCGCGAGATCAAGCGCCGGCTGACCAGAAAGGTACTGCTGGCTCCCACGGTGACAGCCACCTGGCAGGGCTGCTGGGCATGGTGGCAGCGAGCACGTTGTAGGTACCGTGCTGTGGGCGAAGTCACAGGGCTCTTGTGTAAGTGTCCCCAGTGCCCTCGGACTGCAGTGACTTTGGAATGTGGACTGTCACCCACCGTGAACCATTGGCACCGGGGCCGTGTTTTTGTCAGTGACGGATCTGACCTGGCAGCGAGTGTAACAAGCAAGATGAGAACTAAATTTGGTACCTGATACTTTTAAGGTTTGCTGGCCTGGCTGCTTTAACACGGTGTTTCAGCAGCCACCACTTGACACCAGGCTCCCTAAAATCCATTTCTAAAGGAACTGCAATGTGGGAGCTGAGCAGAGTAGCAGCTGCTTTTAGCTGTTACATCCAGGTTACTTGTGATTGTTGCTCATGGCTGGGAAAAGCTTCCCCAAGGCCTGTGGGTGTGAAGTGTGAGTGCTGCCATTGCTGAAGCTGTGTTTAGGGGCGTCATGCAGGGCTCACCTTTGTAGCAGCTGTTCCCACACTCCTCAGTGTCTTTCTTCATGACAGTGTGGCCCAGGTTCTGCCCTAGCCTGGTTTTGTGATCCTGGTGAAAGTATCCAGTCTGTAAGAGGTTTACCTATCCCCTTGCAGGCTGCACACAGGATCTGGTAGTGTCCGTGCTTAAGGCACAGTGAGGGAACCAGTTCTAGTTTTGCTTGGGGTGCTTAGTCCTGGATCTGCTTTGTGGACAAGGCTCAGACTAACCTCCTTTGTTTTTCCTGGTGTTCAGCTTAGCCAAAGGCCTACAGTGGCAGAGCTGCAGGCTAGGAAGATCCTGAGGTTTAATGAATATGTGGAAGTAACAGATGCCCAGGACTATGACCGGCGAGCAGATAAGCCATGGACAAAGCTGACACCAGCTGACAAGGTAACTGAGTGTCCTGTCCCCACATGGGAAAAGGAGCCAGACCAGGGTGACCCACACAAATGGGTGTGAGCCAAGGAGATTTGCTCTGTTCCTCTGGCTTCACCTCCTCATCTTTCCCTCTGCCACCCCATGTGTGTGCTTTCACTTGCATGTGCTGTCCCAGGTCTGCTTCCTGCTGCCTCATGGCAAGGTGGGAGCCCTGGTGGGCACAGTCTGAAAGGCTTCTGCCTCAGTTTCTGAGTGATGTAAGAATCATAATATCATGGAATCGTTAAGGTTGGAAAAGCCTTTGAAGATGATGGAGTCCAGCTGTTTACCCAGCACCATCATGTTCAGCAGTAAATCATGTTCCCAGGTGCCCCATCTGCACATTTTTGAACAGTTCCTGGGATGGTGATTCTACTACAGCCCTTTCTATGAAGACATTTTTCCTTGTATCTCATCTAAACTTCCTCTGGCTCAACCTGAGACAGTTTCCCTTTGTTCTGTCACTTGTTACCTGGGAGAAGTGACCAACCTCAGCTGTCTTGACCCTCCTGTTAGGGAGTTGTAGAGAGTGAGAAGATCCTCCCTGCACCTTCTTTTCTGCGGGCTCAGGCCCCCACCTCACCCAGCTGCTCTTGGTGCTTCGGACCCTTCCCCAGTCCCATTCTCTTTTCTCAACACAGCAGGGGTACTGAGTATTGGTCATAGCAGTGCAGCTCCCTGCAGGCTCAAACTGGCGGGGAACATCTGTCCTTGTTCTCGCAGGCCACCTTTGGGGACTGCCCAGACTCGTCGGGGAGGGGCAGATTAAATTCAGCTTGGTCTTAATGGACTGTGAAAGCTGGGGTGGCTGCTGGAATCTGAGCCCTTTCCTTTCCAAAAAAATCTCCCTCTCTGTGCAGGCAGCCATCAGGAAGGAGCTGAATGAGTTTAAGAGCTGTGAAATGGAAGTGCATGAGGAGAGCAAGCAGTTCACGAGGTGAGAATGTATTAATATAAAAAGTTTTGGTCTTGTTAGACCTGTCAGAGCTGTGCTGCAAGGACAGTGCTCAGTGGCAAAACACTACAACCTTAGAAAAATTATTTGTGCAGCAGTTGGAGATTGAATGTCCCTTTCTGTCCCTGTCCTGGGGGGTGACTGGAGTAGCAGCAGACACAAAGTGGGTTGTTTTTACTTAAACTGGGGCTTCCATCCTGATGGCTCAGTGACCAGTGTCTAGATTGAGGTGTATCTGAAACTAGTGTGAAGCTGCAGATGGAGTGAGCTTTTCTGGGGCTAGAGATGTGCAGCCACAGCCACAAAACAACTTGCTAATGAGTTACCTTGGGTGTAATCTGTGTAGTCAGGTCTGGATCGTAGCCTAAATGATTCCTTTCCTTCCAGCTCTGTGTGGCAAAGTTGAGTGCAGAGCACAGGAGGTGAAATTATTTGATGTTCACAGCTTTCCTGAGGGCTGAGAGTTCTGAGATAATTCAATACACTCTCTTTGGCCATCTACAGTGCCCAAGTAACCATTTAACCTGAGTTCCAAAGATAACACTCAGATTTTTTCCTTGCTTTCAGGTACCATCGACCATAATATTCCAAGGAGGGAGCAAGAAACCTGGGAGGGCTGGAAGAGTTCTCTGCATCCCCCTCTGAGGCAATACAGTGAGGGTGGAACCTCAGCTCTTCCAAGATTTGCCTTCCAAACATATCCAGAAAAGGGCTTCTGGCCAGGGAAGGGGAATCCTGTCTGAATGTAGCATTTCACTGGAGCAAACACATCTCTCATGCCATCAGGCTGGAACTGACACTATACCTCACGTGGCTCAGCAATATGACTCTGCCAGGAGACCGTGTCCAGGGGAAGGACCCCTTCCTTCCCAAGCTGTACAGACTTGTCTTGGGGAGAGCAATTCCTCATTTCCTCCTCCTTTCTGTGTGGAAGGGAGATTAAAAACAAAGGCAGCTCTAAGGTTGGGAAGCTGAGGAGAGCATGTGCTCAGAAGCATGTATGTGTATATTAGCTGTGTACAGAGAACCCTGGCAGACGGCTGACATGGCACTCGGTGGTTTTTGTGAGGTTTTCTTTTCTGTCAAGTCGTTAATGCCCTGAATCACTACTGACCAACGGTTTGTTGTCCTGGAAGGGAATTGTATAGATATTAACATATGCTGCATCTTTTTGTTAAAAAAAAAGAAAAAAACCCAACATATGTGTAAATGCTCTGCACTCTCACACTTGCTCTGATCTTAATAACAGATCCAGAGATATTTAGGCTTGTTTAACAAATTACAGAACCAGGAACAATGACTGTTGCCTTTTTAAAACTTTTTAATTAGGAGAAACTGTGAGAGTAGTCAGTCCTTTTTATTGTGGCTTTCTCTCAAATGTTTTTTACTCTCCCAAATCAGGGTTGAAGGTTGCCTTTTTCTCATTTTTACAGCTAAACCTACTGGAAATTTGATCGTTTCACTGTGTGGATCAAAAGGAGGGGAAGAATAGGTTTAAAAAGTGACCTTAAAAAGATGGTATTTCTCTTCTGAGAGAAAAATTCTTCCTCAATGCGGGTTGAAAAAAAAAAAAATCCGGTAGGGCCACTGCTGTATTATGCACAAAACTAAACTATCGGTGAGATGTCACTTGTGCGGGAGGGCGGGAGGGAGAGAAGAACTCTGTCTTGCTCACAGACCAGCGTGGCAACACGCCGGCTATGGCCCAGCAGCCGCTGGGGGCTCTTCCCTCACAGCATCCCCTGTACAGCCGCCATTACATTGTATATCAGTCTCCGCAACAACAGATTTTAATTATTAAATAAAAGTATTTTAGAATTCTTTTTCTTAAACCCTGCTTGTGCAGCCGTGTCTTTTCAGCTGATCTCAGCAGGAGCCTGACCGGGGCTCCTGAGGGGGAGGGGGGCAGGTCCGCCATGGCGGCGCCTCCCCTCAGGCTTTTCGCGCCCTTCCGACTGCGCGTGCGCTAACCGCCCTGCCGGCCGCTGCGCAGGCGCGGCTGGCCCGGCCCTCCGCGGCGCGGCGGCCCCGGCGCCTCTGCCCATACACGGTGTGTCCCCGCCGCTCGCGCCTGACGCGCCTGCGCGGGTTTCGGCCCCGCCCCCGCGCGCTATAAAAAACGCCGCGCGGCGAGGCTCGGCCTTTTTCACCGTGGGGAGCGGCGGAGCTGACAGGTGAGGTGCCATTTAGTTTTACCCTTTTTGCCGTTTTTACCCTTTAAATCCCTTTTCTTGCTGTGGTGTGAGGTCCTGCGCTGTCAGCGGATGCCCGCTCCATCCTGGTTTTAACGCTAAACTACGCCGTGAGTTACACGTGGCTGCGGGTGCTGCGGCGCTACCTCAGCCGCCCCTCACAGCCATTTTCTTTTCCCACAGGTTCCAAAGTCTCTTCAAGCTTGGTTTGTGCGGCCCGCTGCAGCGTGAGTATCCATGCTTGCCGTGGCCTGGGACGCGCGGGGGCCTGGGGGGATCAGGATGGTTATAAAAGTTAAAAGTAAAGGTCCAACGTGGATATCCGGAGAAGTCGCTCTCTCTCGGCTCTGTCCGTGTGGCGCACGGGAGCGCAGGCCCTCGGGCCCGTGACGTACAGTCCCTTTCCACGACGTTGGAGAGCAAGCCGGGCCCCGAGCCTGCAGCCTGCATATTCCTACTTCTTCTCTGAGCCCTTGGGCCGTTACAGAGGAGACAAACCATGCAGGAAACACTTGTTAAAAATCGGTTAGAAACTGTTGATAATACACTGACACGCGGGGTGGGACGGTGAACACATGCGGAGCTGGGAGGGAGAAACAGAAAAACACAAGCACCTGAGAAATTCTTAAAGTACCTTTTTTTTCATTATTTCCAGTGCCAATATCGGAAAAGTTGGAGTAAAACACGATTTTTGAAGGTAATTGCGTTTAAAATGTAATATTGTGTGTAGTTGCAAAGATGTTTCTAAAAAAATGGGACAGTAATAAAATCCCAATCCGGTAGTAATGTCAGTTCAGATCGCAGGCTTCTAGCTTCGATGATGGTGTTCGATTTTGGATGGATGGGGAAAAGAAACTCCTGAGTCTCGAAGGGGGAAAAAAAAAAAAAGCCATCATGAATCTTGGCAAGCAGGAAAAAAAATGGCTAGAGATAAACTTGTGTACTAAACTTAAAACACAATTGCTGTATTGTGGGACACGAGGAACAGGCAGGAAAAAAATCCTCTATTTTTCCTAGAATATTGCAGAAACTGCTGGGGTGAAGTAACAAGGAAAAATCCGTGGAAGAGGGGTGAGTATATTAAAGAGTGCCCAAATTAGGTAGTTGCCCGAGTCCTGTTAGTGCACTATGTGTGACTAAAACGTAGCCACAGAAATCAAAACGCGGTGGAACCAAGGATGTGTAAATCCAGTGGTTTTATAAAACACGTGCTTGGAGCACGAAAAACGACACGTGGCCCTGGCCCCTTGGTGGGACGCGCAGTTCCTGGATTTTGTGGATCAGGGCCTGGAGGTGCACGCCGTATGGGTAAGCTGCACGGGAAGGAGGGACAATTCCCGGCGTGAGGGGTTGGCTGGTCCAGCGAAGAGCTGCTTTTGGGATGCTTAAAACTGGGGAAGGGGAGTGGGGGGGATCGTAAGGGTTAAGGAGATACCGCGTGTGCTCTCCTGCGGGCTGCACTTGCCAACCTTGCTGATTCCGACGTATATAGGATGTGAGTGGAAGCAGTTTGTGTGTTCAGGCCCTGAAATACAGCTCTCGCTCTCTATTTGTAAATCTGTACCTGTATACAGTAGACAAAACAATAAACTGAATTTAGCTTTGGTTTGCTGTGTGTTTTTGGTGAATGATCTGAATATTAATGAAAACTTCATGCTCGGCGTGGTGCCTCTTGTGTGGAAATACAATTCTTGTTTGGTGCTGACCAATCTCAAAGTAAATGATGCAGAAATGCTCTGTGGCACTCTTGGGGCTGGACTGGGAGCAGATTCGTAATTTAAATCCGGATTTGGATTATCTCAGGGCAGAAAACGCTTCATATTATTAAGGGCTGAGTCAAGAAGGGGTTGATGGCGTCTGTTACCCCGGGGTGTAGCTTGTGGGGGGAAGCCGGGCAGGGCGTTACAGGGTTTCCGCTTCCCTTGGGAAGGGGAGTGGGGTGGGTTTGGGGGAAGTGCTGGTGTGGGGTGGGTGGAATGGGCATCAGCAGTTGGCCAGACGTCCTGTCCTTGGCTGCGCAGTCCCCCGGGAAAGGATCAGGGGGTGGCTGTGTATCTGTTCATCAAAGCTCCACATGGGCCTGGAATAAATAAATCGATGGTGATGCCTCGAAGCTTTTCCGGTCATGGGTTGTGGGTGACCCCTGGAATCACTGTCGATAAGCAGATGAGGCTGGTGTACCAGCCAAGATGTTAATTAGAAACATCATTTTATTAGTAAAAGCTGTTACGGCCAAATGCAGGCCTCTGGACTGGAACAGGAGAATTAGTGGAATAAGGGTAATCACATTGGATGAAGGGAAAATTTGAAAGTTCCCTGTCTTCCTGTTAGCCTGAGAAGTTTGGTCTAGTTCCTGTTCCAAGAGTAAAAGTGTATTTTCCACTTAATGCAGCAGTAGGTTGCTGGAAAATATGGTAGCTCGGACTTGCTGGATTTCAGTACTCTCTTACCGTTGTTCTGCGCGTGTAATTACTGAGTTTTTTTGCAGCAGCTCTGTTCCATCACAGCTGGCCGCAGCCTCGGAGGCTGGCAGCATCTCTGTAGGTTAGGAGCAGGATGAGTTACAGATTTATTGTCTGGGGGCTAACGTATTGCCGACCGCGAGCCTTGCCTTGTGCTGCCTGTCCCTCTGTCTTTCTGTCCCCTTGTCCTGCACTGCCTGTCCTTATCCCATCCCCCTGTCTCGCCCGTATTTCTGTCCTCCCATTCCATCCTGTCCTATCCAGCTGTCCTCTTGTCCTCATCCCATGCTCCTGTCCCTCTGTCCTGTTCCCTTGTCCCGATCCCACGCTCCTGTCCCTCTGTCCTGTCTCTCTGTCCTGTCCCCCTGTCCCGATCCCGTGCTCCTGTCCCTCTGTCCTGTCCCCCTGTCCCGATCCCGTGCTCCTGTCCCTCTGTCCTGTCCCTCTGTCCTGTCCCCCTGTCCGTCCGTCCGTCCGTCCGTCCCGTCCCGCCGCCTGCGGGCGGCGCGGGGGCCGCCGGCCGCCAGGGGGCGCGGCGCGGCGCGGGCGCGGCGCGCAGGCGCAGAGCGGAGCGCGGCGGCCCGGCGGACGGTGAGGGAGCGCTGCGGGGCCGGGCCGGGGGCGCGGCGGGCGGGACCGGCGGGACGGGCATGGGGCCGAGCCCGCGGCCGCGGAGGCGCCGGCGGGCCCCGGGCCGGCCTCGGCGCAGCGGAGCGGCCGGCAGGAAGGGCCGCAGGCGGCGGGAGACGCGGCCGGCGCTGGCCGTGGCCTGCGCGGCCCCACGTGAGGCGGCGCCGCGGGGAATTCGAACGGCGGGAAGGGGCTGGGGCCACGCGGGACGGGGCTGAGCACGCAGACACGGCTCCGATCCTTCCCTTTCCTCCCTTTCTCCTTTTTTTTACCTTCCCTCTCTCCTCGCCTGCCTGGACCTGAAATCTGGTCCACGTCTGCATGAAGTAGGGAGTATGGATAGAATACACAAGGGAAAACTCTGTTTTCCCAGAGCAGGAGGAGGGATCAGTGTTCAAATCTCAACTCACTTACCAGTCCCTCAGGTGGTTCTTTAGGGTGTGAGGGGACACCCCAAAGAGTGAACAGCCTGGTTCACCAGATGGGTGGCTCCTTACAGGCTCTTTTTGGCATTTAGATTCCAGGATGCCAGGAAGACGCAGTGTGAAGATCCTGGTGTCAGAAGAGTCTACTGAGATGAAAAAGGTTAAAGGTAAGTAAAATCCCTTGGAATTTTCCTTCTACTTTGCCAGGGGTAACTTTTACCAGGAAACTTTTACATATTCTTTCTCCTCCTTGCACCCCGCAGTCAGCCACCCATCACATTTGCTCACAGCTGTGTCTGGTGCTGACACTGGGCCAGGGTAACGTTAGCTCTTTTTGGCATTTAGATTCCAAGATGCCAGCAAAACACAGAATGAAGATCCTGGTGCCAGAAGAAGAGTCTACTGAGAGGAAAAAGGTTAAAGGTAGGAAAAATCCCTTGGAATTTTCCTTCTACTTTGCCAGGGATGATTTTTACCAGGAAACTTGAACTCACATGTATTCTTTCTCCTTGCACCCTGCAGTCAGCCACCCATCACATTGCTCACAGCCTGGGCTGGTGCTGACACTGGGCCAGGGTAATGTCGGCCAGCTGGGTCTGGGTGAGGACATCATGGAGAGGAAGAAGCCAGCTCTGGTCACACTGCCGGAGATGGTGGTGCAGGTGGAAGCTGGAGGGATGCACACCGTGTGCCTCAGCCAGACTGGAAAGGTAAGTGCAGTGACTTCTGGGATGCGTTTGGGAGCAGGGGGTAGGAATCAGCCACTGCTCTGCCCACATCTTGTTCCAGCTCTAGGGGTGAGAATGGTCTCACATGGACCATAATGGACCTGAAAGGAGCCTGAGAATTGAGAGGGACTTAGCACAAGAGCATGGAGTGATAGGTGAATGGGGAATGGCTTCACACTGACAGGGAGTAGATATGTGACACTGTCATTTTAGATGTTATATTGGGAAGCTTTTCCCTGCAAAGGTGGTGGGGCTCAGGTACAGAGAAGCTGTGGCTGCCTCATCCCTGGAAGTGTTCCAGGCCAGGTTGGACAGGGTTTAAAGCAACCTAATCTAGTGAAAGATGTTCCTGCCCATGGTAGGGGTTGGACTGAAATTAGCTTTAAGGTCCCTTCCAGCCCAAGCAATTCCATGATTCTGTAATAATTCAGCCTCGTGAGTCTCTGTCCACTGAGTTTATACTCAGTCTGTTGCCCCTCTGGGCTCCATCCTGAGCGCTTGCACCCAATCTGCAGATCTACACCTTTGGCTGCAACGATGAAGGTGCCCTGGGACGTGACACCTCGGCTGAAGGGTCTGAGACCTCTCCAGGGCTGGTGGAGCTGCAGGAGAAGGTGGTGCAGGTGTCGGCGGGGGACAGCCACACTGCCGCGCTGACCGAGGACGGCAGGGTCTTTGTCTGGGGCTCCTTCCGGGTACGCTAATTCCTCAGGTGCTGGAAGCTCCACTGGTGGCTGCTGCTCCTGTGGCTCATCCCTGTGTCTCACCCTTCCCTCAGGATAACAATGGAGTGATTGGCTTGCTGGAGCCCATGAAGACGAGCTCTGTTCCTTTGCTGCTTGAGCTCGATGCGCCTGTCGTTAAAGTAGTTTCAGGTGAGCAGGAGTCGTTGTTGTGATGGTCCTAACAAACAGAAGAACACCATTTATTTAAGAAGGCTTCTCTATTTTAGAAGCATGTTGTCTTTTTATACTCTCTCACAGAGTTAATACCTATTGTTTGGCCACAATAAATTAATATAATGTTGGTTAGTGCCAGGTGGTCAACACCACTGTTTTCTGTCAAGATCTAACTGCAGGCCCCCTTGTTTGTCTTTTCTTCTCCTCCATTTCCATGCTTATGGCTTTGGTAGAACTCCTTTAAGGGGCAAAGGCAATTCTTACCAGCTTCTCTTCTTCAGCTAACTCTTTCTGACTCACAGATCACCTGTGAACCTCTTCCACAAGCAGGGCCCTGGGGTGTGCAGGATCAGGCAGGTACATGAGGTTGTCACAACCCTTGAGGAATGTTTATGACCTTTTCCTCTCTCTTGGCTTGTTCCGAGCCTGATTCAAGGCTGTACTTGCTGATCTCTGACTCTCCAGAGAACGGACCTTTTAGCCCAGACAGATATTTTAGGCCAAACAGATTCACATATTGAGTTAATATTTGACGAGTCTGATGTAGAATGCCTTCCAAGAGTGGCCTGAACTGTGACCCTGTGGGGCCAGAGCACTTGGTCTTTAATGAGGCCTGGGGAAGCTGAGCACAGCAGCCAGGGAACTTGTCCAGGGCCCAGGGGAAGTTGGGGCACACCTGTATCCTTACCACCTTCCCATAAAAACTGCTTTGAATTCCTGGGATCAGGAAGAGGGACATCCTGGAGTTTTAGGTGGTGGCCCAATTGGTGTTGAGGTGTCAAGTGCAAGAAACTCCATAAGCTGGGACAACTGGGGTTTACCCATGGGATCTCAGCCCACAGGACTTGCTGAAGACTTCTCCGTAACTTCTCTTTCCTTCCTGTCCCAGGAAATGACCACTTGGTGATGCTGACAGTGGATGGTGACCTGTTCACGTGTGGCTGTGGTGAACAGGGCCAGCTGGGCAGAGTGCCAGCACTCTTTGCCAGCCGAGGAGGACGGAGAGGACTGCGTGAGTGCATTTAGTTCTCAGAGGTTCATCCTTTGGGTTCTGCTCTGCCCTTTGCAGAGGAGCAAAGGGACCAGGCCCTGATGCTCAAGGGCTTATGTGTAATGAGTGGCATGAATGCAGTGAGCCAGATCCTTAGATGCAGGGAGGGTGTAAATCCTCAGTCCTTGTATGACACCTTGTCTCCTGCCCCAGAGCGGATGCTGGTCCCCCAGCTTGTTCCTGTCAGAGGCAAAGGGAGAAGAAGCAAAATGCGCTTCCAGGACGCTTTCTGCGGGGCGTATTTCACCTTCGCCGTCACCCATGAGGGGCACATCTATGGATTTGGCCTCTCCAACTACCACCAGCTGGGTGAGCTTCACCTGTGTCCCTCCAGATCTCCTTCCAGTCTACTGCTGCCCTGGCCTGGTGGGGGAAGCTGCTAGGTGCCCCAAAATCTAAGCACTGGATGCACCAGAGCTGGAAATGGGGGTGAGGATCACCCTGCATAGCTCTGGATTTAGGTCCCAGCCCGTGTGCCCACTGGGTTTGAGCAAAAATTAGATGTTGGGGCTGGGCAGCTGTATTGGTGTCCGGCAGGATGATCCCCATCGTGGATGGCTCAGTGCTGGAGCCGTCCATGTCCATGGACCTGATCCGCCTGGGTTTGTGCATCCCACCCTGCAGGAACCCAGGACACCGAGCCCTGCTTCTCGCCGCGGAACCTCACGTGCTTCAAGAACTCCACCAAGTCTTGGGTTGGGTTCTCTGGTGGGCAGCACCACACGGTCTGCGTCGACTCTGAGGGTGAGTGACACTGTGTCAGGTGGTCTGGGAGTCATACAGCAGGGTGGGGGGATCCCATGGCCCTCCACCTGGCCAAGGGGCTGTTGGGGTGATGGTGATGTGCTGGAGCCCTCCAGGCTCTCAGTGGTCAAGGAGGCAAGGTTGGTGTGAGATTGCAGCAAAGGGAAGCTAACAACAGGAGCCTGGACTCAATTGTGAACTCTGCTCTTGCACCTATCTACCTTACTGATTTTGGAGAGCTGAAGGGTCTCTATTCCACCCTGCCCCTTCTGGTTGGGTCTCAGGGTGTAGTATGGAGGAGTGATGTTCCTTCAGGAGTCAGACCTGGGGAAAAGTCCTGGTCTGCTTTGGCCCTGCTGCAGCTTCTGCCCCCCTCATGTCTCCTCTCTTGTGTATCTGCTGTGCTCCAGGTAAAGCCTACAGCCTGGGCAGGGCAGAGTATGGCCGGCTGGGCCTTGGGACAGGAGCAGAGGAGAAGAGTACACCTACAGTTATCCCGGAGCTCCCCAGGATCATCTCGGTGGCCTGCGGAGCATCCGTGGGTTATGCTGTCAGCAGTGATGGTGAGTGGCAGGGTTTGGGAGCTCTGCCTTCTGTACTTTCTTCATCCCTCCATCAGCACACACTGCCAGCTGCATTGGGACTGGAGCCAGGTCCTGGTGCCCATCACTTGGGGGCAGCTGGGCACTGCCTGCTGTGTTTGTGGCAGCAGCGTTGGTCGTGCGCTGTTGACCGGGTGGGGGTTGTTGGCCTGGCAATCTCTTCTCTGACTCTGCTGATGCCAGATCTCTGTGCTCTGGTGCTGCAGCTGCCTGTGTGCAGTGTCTGCAGGAAGGAAGGTTTGGAGTGGGCTGTGGGTTTAGTTTGCTCCCCCAAAAGGAATAAAATTTCCTTGGCTCTGTGTGATGTTTGAGTTGCATGTGCTCCTCCTCTTCCTCCTGCTTGTGTTTTGAACTCCTAGAAACACACTGTCTGGGTGTGAGGTCCCCTTCCTATTGTGCCACCCCTTGGAGCTCAAAGCTTGCTTCACCTCTGTTGCAGGACGAGCGTTTGCCTGGGGAATGGGCACTAACTACCAGCTGGGCACCGGGGAAGAGGATGATGTCTGGAGCCCCGTGGAGATGACGGGGAAGCAGCTGGAGAACCGGCGGGTGCTGGCCGTGTCCAGTGGTGGGCAGCACACTGTGCTGCTGGTCAGTGACAAGGAGCAGAGCTGATGAAGTGATGCCACAGCCGGGCCCAGTGGGATCACAGCACCCCCAGACCCCCCACGTCTGCCTGGGTTGGGGAACCGACTACTTGGGGAGGACAGGAGGCTTATGGAGCTTGGCCCAGCAGCACCTGCATGGCTGGAACAGGGTGCCCATGGGTTCTCCCTGCAAGTGTTTGTCTGTTCTTCTGTGGTGTCCAGTGCACTTGTCAGCTCCCTGGGTCAGCTTGGTCCTAAACAGATCCCAGTTCTGTGCCTGGATGGATTTCCACTTCTCATCTGTTTTTTTAACATTTCCAGGCCCAGCAAAGCTGAGGGTCTTCACTCTGCAATCAGGTTTGGGTATCAGTTTCCCTGAGGTCCCATCTTCCCCACATCTGGATGCTCCTCCACCCCCTTCACCTAAATATACCTCCTTGGCCTGGTTTTGTCTGCTGTGACCCCTCCAAACCCATCTGAGCCCGTTCCAGGTGGATGTGAGTCCAGCAGGAATGTGCCCAGGAAGCTCTATCCTCTAATCCAGAGCTTGTGGCTACTGTGGGGTATTCTGCCCCGTGAGGGGGAGTGCTGCTGGATGATACCTAGCACACTAACTGCTGGAGGCTCCTGTCTCCCATCCCTCAAGCTGAAACCCCCACCCTGGCAGTGAGGCCAGCAGGTTCCCCACTCCCCGTGGCCTAGAGCAGCCACCTCACCACTGCTTTTTGCAGTCCTGGGCACTCCCTCTTTGCCTTTGCCTTTGGAAACCCAACCAAATCCATCCCACGGGTGGGCACACTGATACTTTAATTTTTTCCTCTTTCACTTGCTGAGGAAGGAGCTTCATTTGCTGTTAGGGCCTTGCTGAGCAGACACCCAGACCCCAGCTATGCGTGGAGTCACTGGAAACAACAGGACTCCTCCTCCTTTTCTCCCTGATCCAACTGGTCTTGCTTCCTGTGCCCAGCCTGCTCCATGCTCTCCTTATAGGTACCTTGAGTGAGGAGGGGTCTGCAAAGAGCTAAATTATAGCAATAGGGGGGGGGGGGCGGTCTGGGATTATACAATGGTTCCGAAGGGGTTAGATTTTTTTTAAAAAAGAAAATGTATTTTGGTTGATTAATCAAGGCAGAAAGGACAAAAAAAGTCTTTTAGCATTTGGAATAAACTGAGTTTTGATAAGCCCCAGACTTTGCATGTGCTTTGGAGGGGTGGGCTGCTCTCTCATGGGGACAGTCGGGACGGGTGGCTCTTGTCAGAGGTGGTCCCGGTCCCGGTCCCGGTCCCGGTCCCGGTCCCGGTCCCGGTCCCTGCCGCGCCCGAGGGTTCCTGGCCGGCAGATGGCAGCCGGAGAACGCGCTGCTGGCCGCGGGACTGGAGAACTGGGGCGGTGAGAGGGCTTGGTCCCTGTCGCCTCTGCCACCCCCTCCTCAGTTCCTGCCTGTCTGACGGGTCACCCCTGGTGGTTTTGGGTCTCCAGGAACACAACCAAGCCCGTGGCACAGCTGAAAGGATCCTGGCTGTGCTGGGTGCTCCCAGCTGTGTGTGGAGGCTGGAAGCCCTGGGGCAAATTCCCACATCATGGTGTCACTGGAGCCCCAGGTTGCTGTTTACACTTGATTCTTTTGGGCAGCAGCAGGTTTCTTGAGGAGCCTGGGCACTGAGAGCAGCTTAGGCTGTTGGCAGCTCTGCTTCTCCCATGTGGGATGAGCTTGGATTTATAATCAGGGGTGGCCTCGATGGGTGCAGCTCTGTCTGGGGGGCTGGGAGCACCCACCTCCCATCAGGTGGGTTTGTTCTGGTGGTTGCAGTCCTGGGCTTGCAAAGGACTTTATTTTTCCCTCTAAGCATAAGAGTGGTATGTGGGCCCACAGGAAATGTATTGTGCAGGATCAAGCCTGTATTTTGCCATCACTGCAGGCTGAGCCATGGCCAGGTGCTCTAATCCCATGGCTAATTCTGCTCCCTGGGAACCATCACCATTTGATACTCTTCAGTGAAATGTGACCTGCTGGATACCTGATGGAGAAACTGCTCTTCGACTTGGGCAACAACATTTATCCAAAAACAGCCTCAGCTACTGGGGAGATCCCACATCCCAGTGCTCCCAGTTCCTCCCTATCCCCAACATTGGCAGGTTTTTGCATCTATCTCCCACGTTTGGGGAATTCCTTGAAGCAGGAACAGGATCAGTGGTGGCACCACTGTGGTCACCCACAGGGCTGGGCTGGATCCTGTCAGGAGCCAATGCAATTCCCTACTCCAGCTCCTGCAGGTGCAGAGAAAACCTAGCTCGTTCACAAATAAGATGGGATTGTACCCATCCCTGAGGGGCTGCTCCTGTTTCTGGAAAGGGGAAAACATGTCTTTGTCAATGGGAAGAAAGAATGTTGGTATATTCAAGAACAGGAGAAAAGGTCTGGTGGAGAACAATAAGATTTAAAATATTCAGAAATGATGAATGAGCAATTGTCTTGGGAACAGTGACACTTCACTGGGAAGCTGCTGGAAGCTGGGGGAAGGATGAGCCCCCACACAGTGGGGAGAGGGTGGGCGAAGGAAAACAGCTTAATTGAGGAAAGGGAAATGTCTCATTAACAAGGTTTTGTGCTCACAGAGTGAACTGGGGGCATTTTGAGGATTAGGAGGAGGAATTTGGGTCCGGTGGAGTGGACCCCTGGCTGTGTCAAGATCCAGCCTTAGTCAACGGGGGAGGTTTTCCAGCGCTGACACCTCCAGACTCTCCCTCATCACCAGTTGACAGCTCCAATTCCACACTCTGGTCTCCATCTGTTGCTACTGGAAGTGCATAAAAGGCTTTTGATTTACAGACAAAAGCTGGGAAAGTGGAGTTTGAGGGCTTTAGCATCCATGTAGGATGAGGCCTGGTGGTGTGAAGATCTTTTGGGCCCAGAATAAAAGCACTTTGAGTGTTGTTTGCAGGGTTTGTGAGTGATCTTTTTCATGTTTTTTAACACGTTGCTGTTCTAGATAGAAAATTTCTGCCTATGCAGTGGTGCTGCACGATCTGCAGGGAGAGATTGCATCTTCAGGAGCGTTTGTAGAATACTGCAATTGTTTTCTTGTTATTCCTTTCCTGCCTGGAAGAGGAAAGGAGCTTTAATTATGGCCAAGTTGCCTGGGGGTTTAATGATGGGTCTGCAAGGGACAGTTTGGTGATTGTACTGGGCTGTCTCCCTGAATCCAATCTATTAAGGCTGTTGCCTGACCAGTATATCCCAGTTATCCCAGGATAACTGGCACGTGCAATGCTCTGGTGCAGCTCCTGGTAGAGTGTCTCGCGTCTCTTTAGGATGAGAATTGGGCTGAAATAGTGATGTGGGGGTATCTCCATCCCCTCCCCAAACTGCTGATGTCCTGGTTCCTTTCCCATTACAGCAGGCAAAAATAAGGAAAGTCTCGTGTGGCTCACACAACTCTTGGGAGCTGGGGATCCTGGCTCTATCCCTGCCTGGAGGAGCTCCAGTGCTCACACAGTATCCCAAACATCCCCCATCCCCTCCCTGCATGTTCTTCCTGGTCCCATTTGCTCAGGGAATAAAACAGTACAAATTAAACCAAATTTGTAACTCTGAAAGGAGGAAAAAATTCTCTGGGCATTATTAATAGTGATTTTCTTTTCCTATTAAATGATGAATTGCAAGACAAGCATTGCTGTCGAGCTGAGAGCCTGGGTCCACCCCAGGCTGCTCTGGGGTCAGGAAGGTAGGAGCTTTTGCTCCTGCTCTCCCCGGGAAAGCCACGTCCATTAATTTCCATCTGCATATTAATGCAATTCCAAAGTCAGACTAAACCTGCAGACAAAGAAACCAGTGTCATTATAATTAATCACAAGCTCAATACATCAGTGTTCATTACTTGGTGAATCAATTAAAGAAAAAAAATAGGGGAAATTATGTCTCCTGCAATAACGCATGTTTTTGGGCTGCAAATGTCCCTGGAAATAGCAGGTTGGCATGTGCCAGCACAGGTTGCTGCATAATTAATCTGGGCTGGCTGCTAGTTCAACGGGGCTGTGAAATCTCCGGAATTGGTGCCTGGCTCAGCTTTCCCAGGCTGTTGGGTAATGGATGGGGTCCTCAAGTGGTTTTCACATCCACTGTGCACTCTTTATGGTTTCCCCTTCTTTGGAAACTAAGAAACCTACACAGCAGAAGTGATCAGTACCTTAAAATCCAGTCTCATTAAGCCAGAGCAAAGTTGCAGGCTCCAACACCCATTTCTGTTGCTTTTGCATTAAATCCTCATTTGTATTTAAATTACAAATGTAATTTGGGCCAGAATTTGGGCTGTTAGTCTTTTAACATAAAATTACATCTTTATGACTTTTGGCAGAAGAGGTTTTTGGTGACTAGGGCTTGCAAACAAGCTCAGCTAAAGGGCTTTGGGGGTTCACAAAGATGAGTTTTTCCAAGTCCAGGTGAGTCTTTAGAACTTGAATTCAAAATCATGGAATGGCCCGAGTTAGAAGGGACCTTAAAGCCCATCCAGTTTCATGCCCTGACATGCGCAGGGACACCTGCTGTCCCAGGGTACCCCAAACCCCATCCAGCCTGGCCTTGGGCACTGCCAGGGGTCCAGGGGCAGCCACAGCTGCTCTGGGCACCTGTGCCAGGTTATCCCCACCCTCACAGAAAAGAGTAAGTTTAGAGGTAGTTTAATTACTCCCCAGACCACTCCCCTGAGCCAGACCTTGCTCATTTTTGATGCTTGGGAGTCACAAAAGAGCTGGAAACTGCTTCCTATCTCTGATTTTATTTTACTTTAATTTTTAGAAAGCAGGATTGCTGGACAGAAATGCCACTGTAAGGCAAATATCCCAAGGGTTGGAGCTGGAGATAGTGTCTGAAGTACGTTGTGAGATGCTGTGGATCCGGCATATTCGGCTCCTTCACACATGGAGTAGCTGCTGTAGTGGGAGGTGTGATGGGAGGCCTTGGGGTCATTTTAATTTCATACAGCTATAGACAGACGTATATATATATGTATATATATTTATAGAAGTACACAAAGAGTTCTTTCCGAGCATCAGCATGGCCCAGTCTGGGCAGGATCTCTCAGTGCTGCTTGCCTGCACTAGGATTTGTCCCCAGTTTTCCAGCCCAGATGAAGGACTGGAGGAGCTGGTTTTTAGGTGGGAAGAAGCTGGTTCAGCCCCCAAATCCCTGCTGGGATGCTGCCGGAATGGGGGTCATCCTTGCTCCATCCCCTGGCCATACCCATATTCCTAGCATCACATCCATGTGCAGGGCAGCCTTAGCTGCAGTCAGAGGTCTCTAAATAACGCTAACATAACAATGACATTAACCGTAGAAAGCTTTCTCTGGGAGTAATCCCAGTTTGAGGAACTCCAGGAGAATTTTTACAATGGATCTGGAGCTCTTTGCAAACAGTGTCTCTGAAGTGACATAAGCTTTTCTTCCCATGTCCAATTGTCTTTTGGACACAGCCCAGAAGAGGATGGAATGAGGTCCCATGACATGGCAGAGAAAATGGCCTCAAGTCATTCCAGGGGAGGATTAGGCTGGACATTAGGGAATGCTTCTTCCTTGAAAGGGTTGTCCAGGCCTTTCAAGGGGCAGCTGCCCAAGGCAGTGGTGGGGCAATGATCACTGAAGAGATTTAAACATCACTGTGTGGGTGTGGCACTTGGGGACGTGGGCTATTGGTGGTTTTTGTAGTGGTAGAAGAAAGGTTGAAGTTGATGATCTTGGAGGGCTTTTCCAACCTGAATCATTTTGTGATGCTATGATCACTTCCTGGCACAGTTCCTTTCTGCCATGTGAGTGTTTCCCCTCTTGCCACGGGCTGTGGTGTCATCCTGGCCCATGCAGGAGGATAAGCACGTGGACATAGCAGTTCTGGTACCCTGGGCTCTGCCAAGAACCATGTGTTGGAGGGTAACAGCCCCTGCTGGGTGTTGTTGGTTGAGGTGGTGGCATCAGAGGAGCATATCTGCCCAACCTGCCTTTTGTTCTTGTCCTCTCCCTACATCATTTGGTGAGTCCCAATTCTCCCTTTTTCTTTCTCAGGATGTAGAAAGTTCTGCAGTCAGTCTGTATGCAAACCCAGCAGTGTTACCAGGCAGTGCCCAGCCTGCCATTCTGCTACAACTCTGTGGTGGTGACCTGGGTGACTTCTGAGCGCAGCTCATCTCCTCCGTGTCC